TGCAATATTTTGTTAAAGTTGTTAAACTCAAATAATTAATGATGCTATACGGAAAGTTCCACGGATATTTTATTGTTCTTATAAATCGCTATGAGCTTATTCAGTCATTAACTGAACAATGAATCTTCATCAGAAATTTCAAATAGGAAAATCGTGAAATTTTCACGGGTCTTTCTGGTAATAGTAATGTTATCAAGAAAGAAAGGGACACATGTAGAAAGAACAATGAAGTTAAAGAAAGAAAATAAATGTAGAATAATAAAGAAATAAATAAATAAAAACAAAGGACAACAATGAAAGGAAGGAAGAATATGAGGAAAGAAAAGGGAAGGAAAAGCGATAATGATAGCAAATAAACTCAAAGACGGGAAGTAATGAAAGAAAGAAATTGAATTAAATAGAAGAAAGAAAAAAGAAAGAAAAGTTAAAGATGGTAATGAATGAAAATGAGAGGAGAAATGAATGTTAGCAAGCATAAACAACAAAAGAAAAGAAAAAAAATGATATCATTCAAATAAGCGATAAAGAAAATCGATATGAAGAAAAGGAATGAATAAAACTAGACAAATGTTTTTTTGAGAAAGAATCGAAGAAAAGTTATAAAATACAATGGCCTATTAATTTCTTTTGACTTTTGAGGAGATCTTATCTGTAATTAATCAATAAGTTTGTTGGCAAGCCGCCATTGAAAAAGAGAATAACTTCGAGGGACCTATTTTTTGTCTCCATCCCCCATTTGAATTTTCTATTTCCTTTTTAAGTTCGTTTCAGCAATAATTAGAGTTGTCTCCCCTTAGGAAAAAATGAAATCACAAGGGAGTTTCCCTAACAACTTCTTCTTCTTCTTCTTCTTCTTCTTCTTCTTCTTCTTGCCTGCTTTATTTTGTTTATCTTTAATTCGCGTGTGAGTTGTTATTTACTAACAAGGTAAGAAGTACGGTAAATAGTGTGTATCGAACGCATTACTCATTAATAGTAGGTAACCAAGCCAAATTGCTAAATATTACCCAAAGACGAGGAAGCCATTATATGACTCAGGGTCATAATCATGGGGAAACCATTTCACATTATCAAAAAAAAAAAAAAAAACATTTGGGAGTAACCCCTCTATTTGAATAGAGCTATAACAGTGGACTTGAGAAGTCATAAAAATGAGTGTTCGGTCAATGAATTCTAAATGTTCCTTCTGTGGAAACAACTGATTTCATCATCACCCTTTATTATTATTCGGTCGAGTTAGCTCGGACATTAATGAATCTATTACACCAACTATCACGGTCCTACATCAAGGTCGGAAGGTCATTAGGGAGGCATTCCGTCATAACAGAGCTGGTCAATATATGTGGTTGCTAGGTAACTAACTCGTCTTGCTCCATGGCTAGGTGTCCAGATTACTCGCATCTTTTGTTTTGCTCGCCAGAAATGTCCTGCATATTCGGCGTTCGCGTAAGATTGTAGAAACAAGAATGGCTCCATAGAGCTGTGATTTAGTTGAATGTTGTATGCAGGAGATGTTAAGTATAGCTCTCAGCATCATAGTGAAGGTTCCATCAAGCTCAGACTGTATGGTTTCAGCTAGCTAATGTCCGGAACAGTGGCACCATATTAACATCGCCTCTACAGCGGCAAGAAAGCGTCTCCGCTTGAGGTTGTCTGGTAGATCAGATTTCCAGCTTACGTCCAATGTTATGCAAAATGACCGAGGCTATAGCTATGCGAACTTTTACGTCCTTTTCAGTAGAAATTATCTCGCATCCTAGGCATGTAAAAGATTCGACAGATTTTAAAAGGTTGATTTCTTTCAACCGTCAGTCTTTTAAGAAGTTCTTGGAATTTGGGCCAGTCGTTTGTCCTAGCTGCACCAACTGATCGATGAGTTTTCTATGTTTATTCTTTTGCTGTTATTATTGCAGATAATTGGATTTGCCTTCTGAGCTACATTGGTGTAGGTATGACCTTTCATATACGAAACCACTCTTTTTCTTGCTCCTGGGAAATAAATATATCTCATACACTTCACCATTATTTTCTTTCTCTTATCTCTCTCTATCTCTCTCTCTCTCTCTCTGTCTCTGTCTCTCTCTGTATATATATATATATATATATATATATATATGAAGAAAGAACAGTATGCCGTTAACAATAAATTTTTTTTCAAAATCCAGACGACATGCATTTAATGGATGTCAGATTTCATTGAAAAATACATCCCTACCCCTACCAAAACGTAACTAATAACTGATACATCAAAATACAGCGATAATGAACACGCAACCACCCTTTGTCTGGATGAATGGGTTTCTCTGTATCCTTGAAACGAGAATTATGATTTTTGCTGTGTCTTTAAAACCCAGTAATTTTAAAAGTTACTCCAAAATTCGCCTGAGGATGAAATGGAACTAATGTCTTTTAATTTAATTACAAAATTAAATTGAAGCTTTTAGCTTCCATTTTTTGAAACATGGTTATAATGTGAAGAAAAACTATATTTTAAATCAATTAATTTTAATATATATATATATATATATATATATATATATATATATATATATATATAATATTATAAATTAATTGATTTAAAATATAGTTTTTAACCTTTGTCCCTCTGGCAGTAGTTTAAACTTTGGCCATCTTTATCCCGTATTTTGTGACCATTTTTTTATATTGGAAAATTTCAGATATATTTTGTGGAGTTTTAGCTTTTCAAAATTATTATAGTTTATAATTATACTTTAGACATATTGAGAGAGAAAAGGCTTAAATCCCCCTGGCGTCAGTTTAAACTGACGCCGGTTTGAACTGACGTTTTGGTAAAGTTTTGGAAAATGAATGGGAAAATAGAGAGGTAAATGATATAATTAGTACAAACCAGGTACTACCACACTTTTTATACTAAAGTTCATCCAATATAAGGCTTAAGTGCCATTCAAAACAGAGAGTTACTAAATTAGTTGTATGTTTTGAATGTAAGAAAATGTAGTAGAAAGTGTAGTCTATGAGGATAAGGAGTATAGATAACGATTGACCATTGATTTGAGAAGGTTAATATTGTAGTTTCACGCTGGAGTTTTTTCCATAAATTAACTGTTCTGGGAAAAAATGTCTGATCGGAACTTTCTCCTTATAAATGGAATACGGGGCAAACGTGGGTGATTCGATTCCTTTTGTGATGTCAACGAACACTCGTTGCCACTTTTGGGATGTCAACGAATACTCGTTGTCATTTTCGCAATGCTCGTTGTAGTAGAGACTTTGTATTCGCAGATACAACTATAATAACGCCTTTGAACAATACTAGTGTTAGACGCCTTCGAATAACACTCGCACTAATAGTACTTACTCGATAATACTAGTTCGAATAGTAACCACCGAATAGTGATCCTAATATTAATCCGTATAGTGATCCGAATAGAGAAATAGTATAGTGAATAGAGTAGAGAAAATAGTGGTCCATATAGTAATAGAGGATAGAGTAGAAATAGCGATCCGTATAATATAGAGGATAGAGTAGAAATAACGATCCGTATAGTATAGAGGATAGACTAGAAAAACCAATCGTTAGTCGTCAGCTACTTTCTACATACATGCGTTTCCTCTATGGTCCCGTGGTCTACTTAATTTAATAATGAGATCGTCTGTGTTTGTTCACTGGCGATCTATGTTCAAACTCAAGTGTTGGCAGCAACTTTTTATTCCTTAAACGCCGCATAGCGAATTCTAGCTGTAAATGTCTGAATTGTTGGAGCTAAATAGTAGCCGTTTTAAGTGCAACTGCCATGGAAAAAACAACAGGTATTCAGCATTGCATCTGTGGGAAAGAGTCGGTAGAGTTGAAAATAAATACAAGGTATAAGAGCCACTCAAAATAATTTTTATTGAATGGGGATGTCGTAAGGGCGTATAGTGAGGGATCAATGGTTGCCTACTATGTGTATGATGAGTCGACTAAGTGTACATGTCATGGTGACTCTTAGATGTGTAGGTCTGGACAGGTAGAGTCAAGTTTGCCTGAATATCTGCCATTAAAATAGGCGAAGTGATTAGCAACGTTTCGTCTGTGAAGGGTGGAAACGAGTTAACACCCACAAGGCCGCGTAAAAGCTTTTGAACTTGGGAAATGAGGCTTGGGGGTCAATACTCCATTTTACGTCTGGATTTGAAGAGACAGGGCACGACAAGAGAAGTCGGAAACTTTCTAGAGTGGCACAGTTAGACGAGCATTTTAGCAGTGCAATGGATTGTATAGATCAAGGAATCGTATATACGAATTCCATTATGGTGTGAGCTTGAGTCTCAGTAGATGTTTCAGGCATTAAGATTTCAAATGTTTATCATAGCTGCAGAAAAATTAGTGTCTACAGGTGAAGCATTACTAGCTTGGTTATAAGGGAATCGAACGTCACAAGCTAGACGGTTATTTGGCGATAACACTTCCTCACTTAAAAAAGATCGAAAAACATGTCAGTAAACAAGAAAGAAAGAGCAAGTGTTTAGGAAAGAAAGAGCAAGTGTTTAAGAAAGAAAGAAAGAAAGAAAGAAAGAAAGAAAGAAAGAAAGCGCAAGTGAGTGGGAGAGAAAGAAAGAGAGAACGAACGAACGAAAGAAAGAAAAAAAGAACGAAAGAGAAAAAGAACAAAAGAAAGAAAGATACCAATATTGATAATCTTTTCATTAGACATATTATTTAATCCGACATTAACGCTCCTCACTAATGGAACAGCTTAGATTGATTGATTGAGTTTTTTACGGATTATCAACATTTTGCAGGTTATTTGAATCCAGAAAATATTTTTAAAGCGAAATAATGTTTTTGAGTTAATAACGATTTACTGAGACAAGTCCTACAAATAACCCATTGGTGGAGAAGGCAGAGGTGGATTCCTAATTTTCCTAATGGTATTTGCGTGTAAGTGACTATAACGGACTCGACTGGAATTGGAACTCGGCTCCCATATTTCCATTTCCGAGCCGTTATCCATTACATCATCCGCACATCCAAGCTTACAGTACCTGATATTCCCAAGCGGTCACCCGTTCTAGATACTGACCAGGCTCGACGTTGCTTGGGTTTGGTGATCATACGAGAACTGGTGTTTCGACGCGATATGGCCGTAAGCCATAGAACGGCTTTGTGACAATAAACGAAGCAGAAAACTTCAAAGTCGTTTCCTTTGAGCCTTTCACTGTGATAAAAATAAAAGAAAATAATCAATAATATCCGCTGACATCGTGTTGGTCATCATAATGCCGATCACGTAATGACAAATTAATTCTCTTTAAGTATAAATTCATATTCTAAGCAACAAATTGACTGAAATAGAATTTATATTCTGGATATTATTTCTCTTTTCCTTTTCCCCTCCCCCATTTCTCAATTTTCAACATCGCCGTAAACCAGAATCACCCAAATTGACTTCGTTTGATATTCCATGGAGGGTTCATCACTGTATCAACATTCATTACAAGAGATCCCTAAATACCATTTTCTTCATTAGCAGAAGAAGCTCAGTAGTTAGGCTGTCGGTCTGGAGTCTCTATGCCAACTATAAGACAACATAAACATTTCTATATAAATGGCAATATGCATATTTTTATTGTGCAGTGATTTTTCAAACGATTAAAGTCAGTCTGTACGTTGCTTATTTGTTACCGGTTTTTTGTCTGCTTTATTCGACAAGTTCTTCCGGTAGACTCTATTTATAATATGTCTATGTGTAAACATAATACAAACAATGTGTATAATCACAACTTGTATGCCAAAGATCCATACGTTTGATACACCCAACCCCGGTTAAAATGTCATTTGTCTGACAATAGATTAATGAAAATGCATATCGCCAAACAATAGAACAAAGCGTACGAAATACTTATCAACAACACACAAATACTATTGAATATATAATGTAAAAAAGACACGGCGACAAATATGAAAAGATTTCAAATAAGTATAATGTCAGTAAAATAAAAGGATTTAACTGAACAGTTTGTAAGAAAGAAAGATAAAAGTGAAAGAAAGAAACAAACAAACAAAAGAAAGAAAGAAAAGAAAGAAACATAAAAGGAAAGAAAGAAACAAACAAACAAAAGAATGAAAGAAAAAAAGGAAAAAAGAAAGAAAGCAGAGTGAAAGAAAGAAACAAGCAACCAAAAGAAAGGAAGAAAACAAAACATGAAAGAAACAAAGAAAGAAAACAAAAGGTGAAAGAAAGAAAAGAATAAAAGAAAGAAACAAACAAACAAGCAAAGAAAACAAAAAAGGAAAGAAACAAACAAATAAACAAACAAAAGAAAGAAAAAACGAAAAAAGAAAAGGAAAAAGGAAGAAAAAAGAGTGAAAGAAAGGAATAAAGAAACAAACACAAGAAAGAAAAAAAAACAAGAATTGAAAGAAAGAAAGAAAGAAAGAAAGAAAACAAACAGTAAAGGAAAGACTGAAAAATAAACATAAATAGAAATAAAAAAAAAGAAAAGATGTAATAATGAATGAATCCAAAGAGAAAGAATAAATATTTGAAACAAAGAAAAATAGAAATTCCAAATTAAATTAAACATCGATCAACTTCCGGTGTTAAGTAGAATCGGGTTTCAGACATTGAAGGAAATTTCTCAGACATATGGAAAGAAAAATAGGCGAATTTGCAACGAAAAGCGGCAAAACAACAAAACACCTAAAAATGGCTAAAAGATTGGAAAATAAATAAATAGAGCAAAACAAGATAACGATGTGGAATCCTGCACATATTAAACGACATTTTGACAGATTCGCGCACAACTTCTGAAGAGATAAGATTTAAAACAGGAAGGTTAAAGAGAGAAGATGATGGACTTCGTCTCTATCAATAATCAACTGCTTAAATCACATTTTGCTTTTAATTTTGAATTTTTTTTGGTGGGGGGGGTCTCTTTTGCCTCCTCCAATTTCTTGAGTCGACGATTAGGCAGGAAATGTACAGATTTCAGCATCCTCTTAAATACACCTGAGACTAAAAGAATATTTTTTGTCCGCCTAGACAACTATCATCTATTTACGTATCCATCTATCTATCTATCTATCTAGATAGATAGATAGATAGATAGATATGAAGTGATAGTGAAGAATGTTTTTTCTGGAAATTGAGTATGACTAAGGCAAAATTTAATTGTAAGATTCAGTTTAACGGAAACGGCTTTTTAAGTGTAAAAAACTTTTAAAATATCTAGTACAAAATTGGCAGTGACATTTTGTTGTCATTACGTTTAATCTATACGAATTTTTGCATGTCTTAGTTCACTTGCAACCTTATCCACAAAGGTGACACGATTTGTTAGTATTTAATTTTATTTTGTAGTTGATGGTGCGATGACTGCTTTACTCGAGAAAACATCAATGAAACTTCCAGATCATAAAAAAGGACGGTCATTCTATGATCTGGAAGTTTCACCTTACAATCGGACATTTCATTTTTTTTCTGCAATTCGAGAACTCTTGAAAATAAACTTTCCACCATGAATTTATTCCGCTAGGTGACACAAGTATTTGTATGGAACATCCAATCAAGTCTATTGATGTTCACAAGGTTTACTGATTGTCTCAAGCCATCTTTATGACATTACGTTAACCTGTTCGATTCTCTTCAGAAAGCTCTCCATGCAAAAGCTGCTTAGGAACCATGCTATTGCTCACGGGAACAACATGACCATTCTAACGCAGTTTGACATTTGTTGCTTCAGTGCTGCCACACTGTTTTCGCTCAAGTATTTCTACGTTCTTTTCCAGATGATTCGAAGTGCCACCGATCAAAACACTCAAACTACTTCAAGTTAATGTGATAGGCAACACACGTTTCTCATGCATACTGTAAAGACCCAAGCATAATTTACCTTAATCTTAGTCACTCCATAGTCACTTACCGAACGCTTCCGCAGGATTGGCTCCTTCTGTCCACAGAAGGAGCCAATCTGTTTCTTTTTATGTTCCGAGTCCTTTCAGGACGTAGGCGATCTTCAATTGCCCCTATCCCTTGTAGCTCTCAATAAGTTAAGTCCCTCTGCTACCTCCCCCAAAACACGTTCTTGCCAGGTATGACATGCGTTGCTTTCCCCTGTCTCTCTTTCCCACTATTCGACTTCTATCAGATTCTCCAAGCCCCCACTTTCTTATTAATGTCCCAGAAACTTCAGCTGCCTCGTCTTGATGTTAAGTATAAGCTTCCTCCTTGCTTGAATCCTCTCCAAGACCTCATCGTTGCTCACATCCTCGGTCCATGATTTCATTAGAATCCTTCTGCAGAACCACATCGCCTCGATCTCTTCTTCATCTTTGAGGAAATTGTCCAACATTCGTTGCATTGAAGAAGGATAGATGTCACGTAACAGCTCAGTATTCTTTGTTGCCAGGGAAATCCTCGCAATACTTTGCCCAGCTTTTGGAATGTGTCCTTGGTCATCCAAATACGTCTACGGATCACAGTGTCGCACTTATCGTCTTCTATCAAAATACTTCCCAGATATTTAAAATTCCGCAACTGCTTGATTTTAGTGTCCCCAATCTGCAAATCGTATGTCGAGCTCATCCTTTGACTGATGACCTTGCATTCTGTTTTCTTGTAGTTTATACTTAGTCCCTTCTACTCGCTCTCCTTCGATACATTCTGTAGGAGGTTTTGTAATTTCTTTTCCGTATCTGCTATCAGTACTGTCATCTGCGTATCTTATGTTGTTAAGATTATGGCCGCCGATGTTGAATCTCGGTAGCATTTCCAATTCTTTCAGAATTGCCTCGTTGTATAGGTTGAATAGGTCCGGTGAGAAGACACATCCTTGTCTTACGCCCCTTCCTATTTTTTTTTTTTACGTTACGTTATTCATCGATGGTGCTATCGCTTAGTGGAGTGGAGCATCTATACGTCTGACCTTATAGCCTGCTGCCACTCGATTGAATGATGGAATGCTGCGCGCGGCTAACTACCCGTCATCTCTTTAGAGCAGTCATGTGCAAACTGTAGCCCGCGGGCCAGATTCGGCCCGTTGAGCTCAATCAATGATACTCTTATATTTCATGAGGAAAATAACTTTTCTTAAAATTTTGTTTGTCTCGTTGTGTTCTCACTCGTTTAATTACATACACTCACACATGAAATGTTTCTTGAACTTGTAAATTTTCATCATTTTAAACCATTGGCGATTTTCATTAAGGAAGATCAGACGTGTAAATGTCTTTTGCTTTAGAAACAGGAAACATTCATAATAACTTTTTTATTTGAAGGAGAAATATATTTTTTTATTTAAAAAAAGTTTCTCTTCTATTTTCAAGTGAATAAATTAAAAATGCATCACATAAAGCGTTGTGTGCTAATCACGCTGTCAAACGCTTACACTCCACGGTGGTGAAAATGACTGAGTCACGAAAAATGACCTTCAAACCTTTTAGTCGTGTGACTCGCCATCTGATGAGATATATCTCATGCGAACCAATGGTCGGAAAAGGTTGTCAATGCCTGCTTTAGAGTCTCCTTGGATGTCCACTATTCAGTTTGCTACCAAGATAAAGTTGGAAAATACGCTCATTGTATGCAAATATATATTTGGCTCTAAGTAAGGCTTGCTTGTTGTGGTAAATCCCCAGTTTTCTTGAGACATAATAATTCCAAGAACAGTGCAAACTCAAGGGAAACGTCTGTTATGCGCTGCGCTTTCCTCAGTGCATACACTACTCTTAGATGCATTACATGTATATATATATATATATATATATATATATATATATATATACACTACAGTTCAAAAGTTTGAAGCTACGCCCAAAATTAGCTTGAGATGAACTTGTGAAAAAAGGAAAAAGAACACTTAGAGTCATTGAAATAAGAATAGAATCACTTATCAAACTTAGACTTTGAGAAACTTTGTGCTGCAATAATCAAAACTAAAGGAGGATATTTTGACGAGAGCAAAATTTAATCATAAAATGCTTTTTTTCTTTTTGTCATAACAAAATTTCTAATAAAAAAAAATATGTCTCAATTCTTTTTTTTTTTTTTGAACATATATAATATTCTCTTATTTAAAATACAAAACAACTACTTTTACATAGAATTTAAAAAATTACGAGGGATAGCCTCAAAATTTTGAACTGCAGT